CAGAGTGATGGCATAGGAGGCAATTCATTCATCACCTCCTTTGTCACCCTCAACATCGCGCTCACTGATCTAGCAGGCCACATAATCCAATATCCGGCCAAATTCTATGTTAACCCGGCGAGTACTACGAAGATCATCATAGGAAACGATTTCCTAACGCATTACGGAGCTGTGATTGACGTAGACGAAGGGCGTCTGAAATTACGGAGGGACTCATCAAGCAAGGCTTCATTTAAGCTGGAATGTAAGCCGTCTTTGCCTCCGGATGTTAAAATAACTGAAAGCTTTACCATTCGAGGATATCACGCCGCTCGAGTTCCAATTCGTATTGACGGATCAGTCAAGACGCCGCACTTCTACCTGGATCCCAAACCTATTCGAGAGGGTGAGTACGCTGTCTCCGCTGCAAAATTAATCGGTAACACATCCGACACCAAGGTTGTCGAGGTATATAACCTCGAACCATTTCCGATAACCTTACACGAAGGAGAGATTATAGGAACAGCTCACTCCCTCGATACTCGTCTCCCTGTATCAGTATCATCGAATAACACTCCAATTCACGCCGTGAACCGTTCAGAAGACTTGTACGAGTTTCGAAAGGCGATTCAATCAATGGATATCAACCCTACGCTCGACGGATCTCAACGACGCAAATTAATAGAGATTCTAGAGAGACGACGACATGCTTTTGCCTACGGAGATAGGAAACTCGGTGCAGCTAACATCGACCCGATTCGCATTGACACAGGAGATGCACACCCCATCTCGACGCCTCCCTATCACGCTTCGCCTAAGGGTAAGCAGATCGTCGAAGAGACCGTCGCTAAATTGCTAGCGGACGATATCATCGAACCTTCCGAGTCCCCATGGGCATCTAATGTCGTCCTCATTTCACAGAAGGATAAAATACGTTTCTGTATAGATTATCGAGCACTCAACGCTGTGACTAAAGCAGATCAATATCCGCTGCCTCGGATCGACGATTACTTGAGTCAATTCGAAGGTAAGCGCTACTTCACAACATTCGATGCAAATTCAGGATTCCACCAGCTACCTGTGGACGAAAAGGATCGCGAGAAACTCGCCTTCAGGACACACAACGGACTATATCATTATAAGAGGATGCCATTTGGTATCCGAAACGGACCTTCGATTTTCCAGCGAGCTATGGACAAAGCCCTTGGACCAACAAAATGGAACTTTGCTGTAGTCTACATCGATGATATCATCGTGTATTCTGCAGATTTTGATCGCCATCTCTCGCATCTCGATCAGATCTTGGATCGCATAATTAAATCTCGATTCACTTTGTCAATCCCAAAATCTCATGTGTGCTACCAAGAGATTCATGCGTTAGGACACAATGTGAGCCGCCTCGGGATAGGTATGAAACACGAGAACGTCAAGGCTATATTGGAATTTAGACAACCGGCTTCGGTGAAGGATGTACAAATATTTCTGGGCATGACAGGCTATTACCGACGTTTCGTGAAGGACTATGCAAAGATTGCAAGACCACTAACCGCTCTACTGGCCAAGGACAAAGTATTCGTGTGGTCAGCTCACTGTCAGGATGCTTTTGAACGCCTTCGAGATGCTCTGGCAAGTGATCCGATTCTTGTGCATCCGAACTATGACAAACCGTTTATAGTATACACCGATGGATCGAAGATTGGACTTGGAGGAGTGCTCGCACAGATCGGAGACGATGGGAAGGAGCACATGATAAGCGCCGTAT